AAAAAAAAAAATACTTGAAAAAAATAGGTGAAAGAGAAAACCCTCCACGCTCACCTCAAACAACTCGGACGCTTCGAGTCCCTCAAGGGAAATGTTGGACACGGAACGACACACCGCCCTGGAAGTCCTCCTTCACCTGCAACACCCAACAGGCGACAACCGCTTCTTAAGGGATTCAACGGCCCACCAATCCTCACAGATGGCAACGACTCGAATCTTCGCCCTTCATCCTTCATCTCAAACTTGAACGATTCTCGCCACGAAATTCTGATTTAATTTCATCGCCGCCGGAAGCGGGAGGGGTGAAAAAGGAAAGCCCATTTCTCACTGAAATTTCCTCCGCCATCGAATGCAACAATCAGACGGCAATCGCCCCGATGACCTTGAAGGCAAGTCCTTGCCTTTCGTCGCGGAAGGGGTGGCAGAACGCCCAATGTCTCCCGAGAACCACCTTGAACCTCTGAACTCGTCGTTCCGCATTTAATTTCTTTCTTATCTCTTCGGCCTTATATAAATCAATAAATAATCGAATAAAGTCAATAGCTCCAGAAGGAATTTTTACTCGATGCATTCAGAGGATATTTCAGACGGGAAGGGCCTCACAAGGCGGAACACACCATGCCCGCCATTATGTTTCCCCCCTACCTTCGACAGCGGGATGATACCCTCCTCTGCGACCTCAAGACTTTTTTGATAAGACCAAGCGTTCGCCTACCTGCTGCTTTCGTATGTTGTCTCCGATTCCGCTAGTCTCAGTACTCTCCGACGAGAAAAATGGCCTGGTGACAGAACAGAAGCGGCGCCATGCGTGCAACGACCGGGATCAGGCGGATGCGTCGACTGGAGCTCGTGCGGCGGAGGTGGGAGGGATTATATAGACTTCCAGGCGTTGAGGTCGTGACGTCATCACGGTCGTCTGCGATCGACTCTGCCGCTCCATTCGCGCTCTCCCACAGATTAGAGGATGGGAAGGAATTTTTATTTTGCCCCTAGAGCTGGTCAAATGTAAGAAAAATAATAAATATAAGTAAAACCTTATACTGTATTTTTTAAGAAATTATAATTTCTTGCAAGGAAAGTATTTTTTTAATTCTCCTTTTGAAAAGTTAAGGCTTACGATCGTTTATTCGAAACGATGTACCAGTGAATTTTTTTCCTCATTCACGCTGAGAAAAGCTGTTCCCATGCATCCCTCCGGATTCTATCGGATCGAGGAATTACTTGTCTTTCGTTTGAAAAAAATGCCGAGAGCTCGCTGAACAGCTATGTGTGCAATTAAAAAATTGACATCTTCCAAACTGGGGCATACATAGTTGACCTTGGAATAAGCTGCTTTACGAGCTCAATTGAAAGCGGTATATCCGATGAGTTCACCACAGTGCAAATATCCTCCTGATGATACGGAAATTTCCTGTAATATTATCAGAGAGATTTACAATCCTCCAACGCACGTCAAGAGGCAAACGTCAGCATGCCCTACATGCACTCGTTTATATCTCTAGTAGAGAAAAGAATCTGGTTCGTAGACCCACAGAGAGAGGCAACTGCGTAGTAGTCGGAAATGCCAATGCTTTGACACCGCGGAGTCTCCAAAGCGCTGCGCCCAGGGTCCACGAATCGAAGGCGACTCCTCGGCTTGGACGCTCCATTCCCCGAAAACGGAGGAAGCACACGGACGCCCGCAGGCGTCGCTCCACGGATCACTTGCACTTCCATCGCTGGATGGCAGGAACATGGGCACGAAACAGCGAAGGACATCCTCGCGAGGAGCAGCACGAGGAATGGCGGAGGCATCCGTCCTCCTCAGCCTGCAGTTCCCTTCTTAGCTGCGCTGCTTGGG